GGCAGCTTTGTGGGGCTGTGGACTGCTGACACCGTCTTCCGAATTCCTCGATACACCAGGGCAATGCCTAATCCAATCAGCAGATAGCCTGTTATCATGGTTCCGAATATATAAAGATTTATTAGTTATACATGTGTAATGTTTATATAAATATATCTGAGAGTTGTGTGTACAATTTTCCTGTTACTGGCAGACTATCTGCATTCTGATGATGGCTGTTCCAGTCTTGCTAGTTACACACTACTTCTTTATTCTTCATTCAGATTAAGTGACTGCTGGCTGTCAGAAAGCTGTTGTTCTTCTCTGGCCTCTGCTCTGAAATCCAAAACCTCACAGTTGAGAGAGCTGGACCTGAGTAACAACAAACTGCAGGATTTGGGAGTGAAGCTGCTGTCAGCTGGACTGGAGAGTCCACATTGTAGACTGGAGACTCTCAGGTCACACAGTTCATTCTTTCTTTCAATACTGAAATAAGTACAATAGAAATTCTGTGAACAAACATCTAGTCAGTTATGCTGATCCACACTCACCAGCCTGTATCCCAGCAATGACAATTTTTAAATGTACATTTACTGTAACAAAATAAACTATATCTAAATTTACATTTGAGAGCACATATACCTGCATTTAAGTTAAAGAATGTTCTTACTGTTATTTTACTAATCAAAAAACAACAAATGTGACTGCATTAAAATATAAAATGACAGACATTCACAATGTGTTCAGTAGAGTAAATGTTGTAGTTGTTTTTCCTCATTTAGTTTGAGGTACTGCAGCCTGTCAGAGAAGAGCTGTTCTTCTCTGGCCTCGGTTCTGAAGTCCAACCACTCCCATCTGAGAGAGCTGGACCTGAGTTACAACAAGCTGCAGGATTCAGGAGTGAAGCTGCTGTCTGCTGGACTGGAGAGTCCACACTGTAGACTGGAGACTCTGAGGTCAGAAACTTTTTATTCAGCTCTTTACTAAAGAAATATTCTAGGTCAGTTCTTACACTACGTACCACCACTTTCCAACAATGTCTCTGATCAACTCCTTCCTGTTTCCTGGCACTGTCCCCCTTGCCTTCAAATTTACCCACAGAAATAAAATCATGGATGCAAGCTTACTGCCTCGTTATCGGCCCAAATTCTATCCAACATTATTGAACAACCAGTTTTCAGATTGCAACTGTGGTCACAACAAACTCTTTAAAATTCCATTGTATTAATCATTCTATTATCTGATATTTGTTTAATGTATGCAATGATTTAAAAGGCTTGTAGCTAACCTTATTTTTCTTTTAATATTAGACTTTTATGTAATGTAGTTTATATTTGTGTCATAATTTGTTGCTGGATGATCTAACTACATGTGTTGTTCTTTGTTCAGACTGAGTTTCTGCAGTTTGTCAGAAAGCAGCTGTAGTTTCTTGGCTTCCGCTTTGAAGTCCAACCCCTCTTATCTGAGAGATCTGGACCTGAGTTACAACAAGCTGAAGGATTCAGGAGTGAAGCTGTTGTCTGCTCGACTGAGTCCATACTGTAGACTGGAGACTCTGAGGTCAGACAGCTTAATTTAAGTTACTGATTATAGATTTATTTTGTGTAATGTTCATATAAATGTATTTTTGTTTTACATAAATGTATTTATATTATATATCTCTATATATACGTTATATGTATATCAGAAAGCAGGCGTGAAGCTGCTGTCTGCTGGACCAGTGTCCATACTGTAGACTGGAGACTCTCAGGTCAGACAGTGTAATTTAAATAATTGATTATAGATTTATTAGTATGTAATCATCATATAAATGTATCTTTGATTTACATAACCATATTCTTGTATTCAAGAATCTAAAGCAGCTCCACCACATGGACTCTAGTCCAGCAGACAGCAGCTTCACTATCTGCATTCTGGTTGAATTAGGTTGTTCCAGTCACACGCTTTATTCTCTGGTCTTCATTCAGATTAACTGACTGCTGGCTGTCAGATAGCTGCTGTTCGTCTCTGGCCTCTGCTCTGAACACCTCCCACCTGAGAGAGCCAGACCAACAGAGTGGAGCTGCTGTCTGCTGGACAGGACAGTCAGTCAGGTCAGTAGTCACATACATCTTGTGAAAAGAATATTGTTTTTATTAAGACAACGTCTGGCCAATCTTCACACAGAAACTTGGTGTGATCACTTTGTTATCCCCTACAGGGCGAGAGAAAACATGAATGCCGGCGGCGGCTTTTAAAAATGTGAGTATAAAAACGTCAATACGTCAAATTATAGAAAGTAACTTTGACACCTTGCAGTGAGGTTCACAAATTAAAAACATGCAGTCACAGCCCAACAGATGCAAGTTCTGTCAAAAATCTGTCTCATAACTCAAAACCTAATAAATCACATTTAAACATCTATAAATGCACAAAGAAATAATTTTAAAAAGATGCTTGAGAACTTGTTTGAGCAGTTCTGGCTCTGTAACATTGATCAACACTGTAAGCTATGCTAACGCTCTACGTCCACTACAGTCCACACTAATGATTTCTGTTTTTTTCTGTTTTCTGTTTTCAGTTTTCCAAAGAAACTCAGTCTCACTCCGACAACATTTCAGAGGAAATCGCTCTATAAGGAACTTTTGGAAGACAAAATATTGCTCCAAGACTTCCTAAAGAATCACAGCATTATTGTTCAAAGGCAAACTGCGGACTGAAAGTAGACGATAGGGCAGGAAATTCGGGGGAATAGGATGAAACGTTTTAGAGCCTTCAGATTGTCTGGTTTATCTCAAAGTGGACTCATCATCCACTCAATGTGTCACTTTCATTATCACACCTTCTGTCTGGTTTCATTACCTGTTATATGAACTGTAAATGAGTTACGTTTGTGTGTTTTATTTACAGACAAACATTGGCTGTCATTTGTTTTGTTGTTTCTGTAATTTGTTCTAATTTTCTTGTTTCCCAGAAGCACCTGCAAACGAGTGTCTACTTATTGAACCTCCAACAAAACCTCTTGAGAGTGATAAAGGCTCTAATTAAATGTGAACTTAAACCTTTGTTACCATTGAATTGTGAACACATGCACATGACAATACACATGACATCTTATGACAAAAAGGGCATAAAAACATAAAAAATATTTTAAAAAAATAATAAAAACTTTATATCTATGGTTAGGTCTGAAGTTGTTAAAAAGATTTGATGTGGTAAAAGTGA